AATGGAGTCCAATAAATTCTAAATACTATTTTTTGTTGTATAAGTCGTAATTTGAGGTCCATTAAAAAGTTGGATTTCCCCATAAAGTGAATTTAGCATGGGAAACAGAGTTGAATCTATTTTTATTAGACAGTACATTCCATAACTTTCTAACTGATGCAATTGTTTACAGGGATGCTAGAGTTTTATTGTATTTAGATCCTAATGCTGTCCATCCAACCAAAGGCACCATATATGTATATGCCAAAGCTGCCCAAATTGGAAAATCAATACCGCTTGTGGCTTCCAGTATTTAATACTTGACAATAGGTAAGCAGGATAATATAGCTCCAGATTCAGAAAACCGAATCCACCCTCATTAATTGGTAATTGTATTTTCTGTAAAGATATTCTCGGAATCGAAGAACCCCATAGCAACATATTGCCATGATGAAAAAGTAGAAATTATTTAAAAAACAAAAAATGGTTTTCTATAATAAGTGGCATGCTGACTGCTACCATAACCAAGAAATCAATGGCATTCAAACCGAGATTCATATTTTAAATATGTAGGAAATTTATATATCTAATATTGTTTGGAAGCAACAAAACCTGTGAAAGTATATCTTGTGCCCAAAAGTTTTCCAGTACAATAATTAATTTCCTAGTTTTTATGCTAATGATTTCATTTCTGTAGCAGTCAAATTATAAGATGCTGAGTTTCCTGCTATATGAAGCCCAACTTTGCACAACTTGGAGAAGGCTGCCAACATTTAATATTTGTCACTAACTTCTGATTCTCTAATATGCTAATTCCTCATTTCAGTTTATTATTGTATTATTTTATTTTCCATTTAGCTAAGTAAATCTCAGTACACTGGAAGCTTTACAACTAATGTTTTTGTTTTAAACATGAAATCTTTTTAACAGCTAAGGATTGACATCTTAGTTGAAGCCTATGTGGTAGTGGTTTGGAGTTTACTGTATATTGATTTTTATCACAGCTTCCTTTATAGGTTTCTTACCCTATTTTGATGTAGCTTTGGACTGTGTTTTTATATGTTGTATCTGCCTAGAGTTGCATACAAATTAAAACAATAAATCAGTCTTCACTAGCAATTTTTTAAAGAATTAAATTGAATTACTATTCAAACTGAAGGCTTCAGA